ATTTGAAATTATGCGAGCCAAATATTGGTACGTAATGGTGACCAGCAGTGATGTAATTGGGGGGGGGGGGGGGTGCAGGGAGGGACGAGTTTTCCCCCTCCCTCCTTCGCGAAGTGCGGAAGCTTTGACATTTCAATAAATATTAGAGAAAGGAGACGATTCGTTGTACCGACGTTTTCGACTCTTAATCCTTGTCTGAATATCAAAAATGTTTTTTGTCTACACCCTTTTCTTCATACGTCCTCTTCCTTTTCAATCCTCTGTTTTTTTGGCCGGCGTTTTTGGGGGGACCATACTTCCCCCCTAACTACGCGCCTGCGGTCAGATGAACATTATGTTGATACCTTGTCCGACCCCGGAAGGTCAGGGGTTTAAGGCAATAATTTATGGTCAAATTAGCACTCAGGGGTCCGCCTTAGGGCCCTCGGCGGGGTCCAGGGGCAGAGCCCCCGAAGTTTAGGGGTTTTAGGCATTTAATTACGGTCAGATGAGCATTATTTTGATACCTTATTGTGACACTGGCAGGTCCCTAATTGGCGTGGGGTTCAGTGGTCGGAGCCCTTGGAAGCCCAAGGGTTTTAGGCACTCAATTACGGTCAGATGAGTATCAAGGGGCCCGCCTTAGGGCTCTTTGTCGGGTCCAGGGGTCAGAGCCCCCGGAAGTTCAGGGGTTTTAGGTGTTTAATTACGGTCAGATGAGCATTTGTTGATACCTTATTATTTTGTGACACTGGCAGGAAACTATTTGGCGTGGGGTCCAGAAGGCAAAGCCCACAGAAATCAGGGATTTTAGACATTAAATTACCAACAGATGAGCATCTAAGGGCCCGCCTTAGGGCCCTAGGTGGAATCCAGGGGGCAGAGCCCTCGAGGTTTTAGGCATTTAATCATGGTCAGATGAGCATATTTTGATACCTCATTATAATGTGACACTGGCAGTTAACTATGTTTTCTTTCTTGCTCTCTTTCTTTCTATTTCTCTTTTATATACTTTTTCAAAAAAGTGGGTGGTGGGGGGGGGGGGGGGGGGGGGGTTCGAGGATCCCGATCCCCGCCGTTCCGCGAGCCCTGACATGTAGGCATCTCAAGAAGCATATCCTTGCCTGGCTGTAAATTTAGGAATTTGTCATTTTCCAACAAACGCATAAAAAAGTATAATATACTTAAAATTATGTCATTTCAGCATTATTTGTAAATCACCGTTATGGAATTAGAAATAAACCACGTTTGAATTTTATTTCCCCAAAGCCCCCCCCCCCCCCCCCCCCTCCTCTATCAGTACGCCAGTGCCCCCCCCCCCCGACCTACACCTTGTTGGCGGGAAAATTGCAAATGATATCCCTTACCTTTCTTCATTCTCTTTCTTTTTCTTTCCCTTTCTCTCTCTCCTCTTCCCTTCCCCTTCCCTTCCTTCTTTCTCTTTTATGTTTGCTGGAGGAGGGCAAATCCATTTTGGCCCCACCCCGCTCCAAACATTGTTGGCGGGATTAACCGCAACTGATCTCCCTTTCTTTTCTACTTTTTCTTTCTTCTTCCTCTTTTTTGTTCCCTTTTAGCTCTCCTCTTTTAAGGCAGGGCCTTTTGTCCCCCCCCCCCCGATCCACAATCTGTTGGCGGGAAAATTGCAACTGATATCCCCCTTCTTTTGTTTTCTTCTTCCTCTTTTTTCCTTCTCTTTATATATTTTAATTTTTTGATTGGGGGGAGGCAACAGCCTGGGAGGCAAGTCCTTTTGCCCCACCTCCCCGATCTCCTTCATCCCTCTTTTTCTTTCTTCTTCGTCTTCTTTTTTCCCCTTTCTCTCCTCTTTCCCTTTCCCTTCTTTTCCCTCTCTCTGTCTCCTTTTTTTCTGCGGGGGGGGGGGGGGGCCAAGGCCCGCTCGCCCCCCCCCCCTGGATCCGCGCCTGGATACGCATATAATATATGTTACTGTGTTAATCAGCTGTGTCGGTATTCTTGCTCGATCCTCGTGTACTATATCAATTCAGAAGTTTGAAGTCGGTGAGATCGAAATTGGCTGGCAATATTTTTCCCCTGCACAACTATAATACTTGTTTTTTGTCGAAGTTTCACCTACACTGTTGCTCATAACGATGGAATATTTTTTTTTATCCCAATTTATGGAATTATTTTAAAAATAATTTTAAAATACTAGATCTAGATAATAGTATACAGTCTCAGATTTTATTGAATAATAATTTGCCAATATGTGTTTTGCGTGACTGCTAAAGCATGTATATTATGCTACTATGTTTATTAACTAGGGGACCTATGCCCTTAAGTCATAAATGACAGTAATGAGGATTAATGCCTCACAAAAGGGCACTAATATAGCACATCGACACGGTGTTGATCCTGGGCCTCACAGTTACGAGGCCATTGCTTTGTCACTGAACCATGACTGTACGCAGCGGGGGCTATGGTAGGGGGCAGTTTCCATAAATTAAAAAAAAAACAGAAAATGCAATAAATTTTCAATAATTTATTGCATTCTACCCGGTCCCAAACATAAAAAAATCTTCTGTGTGCCCATGCCTTGAGCCATAATAAATGGCCGTCCAGAGGATTTTTTTATGTTGGGGACCGGGGTAGAATGCAATAAATTATTGAATATTTATTGCATTTTCTGTTTTTTTTTAAATTTATGGAAACTGCCCCCTACCCTAGCCCCCGCTGCGTACAGTCATGGTTCAGTGACAAAGCAATGGCCTCGTAACTGTGAGGCCCCAGGATCAACACCGTGTCGATGTGCTATAATCAGAGCCCTTTTGTGAGGCATTAATCCTCATTACTGTCATTTATGACTTAAGGGCATAGGTCCCCTAGTTGATAAACATAGTAGCATAATATACATGCTTTAGCAGTCACGCAAAACACATATTGGCAAATTATTATTCAATAAAATCTGAGACTGTATACTATTATCTAGATCTAGTATTTTAAAATTATTTTAAAAATAATTCCATAAATTGGGATAAAAAAAAAAATATTCCACCGTTATGAGCAACAGTGTACTACAATAACAGCAAAAGAAAACAAAAGTTTTAATTTCGCAACCCCGAAATTCGAACCCGAGAGTTTTAATGCACAGGCGCCGCACCTTTTCCAAACACGCCACACCGATTGATTGCTCATAATTATGTTGCACATTTAAATATATAGTTATGATGCTGACTAGCCTTGACGAAATAAACCATATATTTATGTGGTCGAGGAAAATAACTATGTGCGCATACGCAAGTATTATACAAATAATTTAGCTCCCGGCCCCGGGTTTATAGGGTTAAATTTTTAGACAATGGGACATTGTCATTATTAATAACTATATTATTTGTCGGTAATTGGTGGATATAGTTTTGTCGGTAATCCTCTACACCCCCCCCCCCCACACTGAAAAGGTCTAGCGACGCCCCTCCCTGGGTTGAATGTGGCAAATGTAGATTAATGTTCTGCCGCGGCGGGACTCGAACCGCAGAACTTTTTGTGATCTACAGTGATTTGCATTTCATCGAGCGAATAAATACCGGTGCCCCCACCCTCCCCCAATTATGCCCTCGACGTCTTGACTCCCTCAGTGCATGACCAGAGAATCGATCTCTTTCTAACTTCGACAGACAAACTTTATATCGTATGCTTTGAATGTAGGCCTCCTGATTGTTGTTTTCAAAACGAGGATTTGTTTTTAATATTTTTTTGGTACCGTAATAATCTTAGGAAATATGCCATACATTTCGAGTTTAGCAGGGATCAGATATTTGCGATGAATTCTTATTTTTTAGCAGTGAGTTTTGTATGCGTCATTATATTTATAACAAGGACGGCATTCAGTATTTTCTTCTTCATTAGGTTTCAGATTTTGAGGGCGCTATTTAAAAGTTGATCCCTTAACTTTTGAATACATAAGTAAAATAAAAATGTATTAAAAAAATGTATAAAAAAAAGGTGAGGTGCTTCATTTAGTTACTTTCCTTTCTCTGCATGTAAGAAAAATATCGTATATGAGCATCTGAGAGATGAAGTTGAAATAATTTGTATCCTCTTTTCATGAAAAGATTGTGATAAAGTTCTCTCAGAAATGTATTGGTCAATCTAAAGAGTCATAGAAATTGATCTATAAAACTTCGAGAAGATCATTATAACATTTTGAGAAGATCATTATAAACTTTTGTTTATATTAAGAATGAATCACATTGTCACAGTCATTTCATGAAAAGTAATAACTCGGAAAACTTTATTCCAACTTTATGAGTTCATTAACGATTATGCTCATGAACCGATGATTTACTCAAAATATATTAACCTATGTAAGATATTGCATGATGGCCAAATTCAAATAAAACGAAGCTTATCTCTTTATTAATTCTCTCTCTCTCTCTCTCTCACTCTCTCTGGATGGGCATGAGACGGCATTGACTCCGGGTATTGAGTATCATTAAACTGAAATGAATATGGTATTCACATATTTAAAAAATATTAATAATGTGCTGTACAGCATTTGTAGTGAGAACACAGGTAAACCGCCTAAGCTTTACATAGAATTTTCCACAAAAGGTAAAAGGACGTAAGTTACCCAGAGAGGGGGTAATGAATAAGGGCCACTCCTGCCACAGGTGTGAAGATCGGAATGGGAGGGCTACCTGTACTTCGTTAGACATTCTAGTCTGCACAAACAGACACTAATTTGACACTTATGTGACTTGCGTGATTCTTATTGCCTTTTATTTATAATATTGTTTATGATTAGAATTTACAATGATTTTAAAAATATGTGTTTACGGTTTTATAATGTTTGGTTAGGATTTTACAGTCCTATACTTTATCCTCCGTCTCCATCGTCGCACTTTTTGACAGACAGGAGTCTCTTTTTAAAAACTAGGCTATCAAGTTTCTCTCCTTCTCTGTTTACGTTTATTTGCGCAGTGCTAGTGCTAGTAAGCTAGCTATGCACGTGTGTAAAGCGAACGGTATACAGAGTGGGCCATAGCAACGAGTGTAATCAATGGAGTCTGCGAACAATAGTGGTTAACTCGAGGGAAGGGCCATGAATTGATTAGTTATTTGTTGTCCTTGGAGTGAGAGTGTGTGTATACGAACACGTTGAGTGAGAGAAACTACTTTTGAAGAGGAAACCTATGTAAGCAACAAGTTTGGATTTAGCCTTTAGGGGTATAATTTACTTTTTAAGCCAAGGAAATTAAAACTTTGTGAGTGGGATGGCAAACACGAAAACACACCCAGTCAACGCCGGTTCACTGCAATTGGAACACGACAGTGAGTATTCCCCTTTCTTCTTCTTCTTCTTCTTCTTCTTCTTCAATACATTTCGACAGGCTTGTTAGTCCATATAAAGACACAGAAACGAGGCATGTTTGGTTTACTGTAGCTAGTACTACTAGTACTAGTACTAAGATCGCAAAGTCAGGCGCGGATCCAGGATTTCTTAGGGGGGGGGGCCCAAATTTGAAATTATGCGAGCCAAATATTGGTACGTTATGGTGACCAACAGTGACGTAATGCGGGGGGGGGGAATCGGTGCAGGGGGGGGGCGAGTTTCCCCCTCCCAGGCTTTGACGTTTCATTATATTATTAGAGAAAGAAGACGATTCGTTGTACCGTTCTCGAAAATAATTCTCGTCTGAATTTAGTTTTCCCCCTCCCGCGCGAAGCGCGGAAAATTTTACGACTTATTAAATTATTAGAGAAAGAAGACGATTCGTTGTACAGTTCTCGACTCTTAATCCTTGTCTAAATTCAGTCCCCCCCCCTCCCCCTCCTGCGCGAAGCGCGGAAGCTTTGACGTTTTATTAAACTATTAAAGAAAGAAGACGATTCGTTGTACCATTCTCGAAAATAATTCTCGTCTGAATTTAGTTTTTCCCCTCCCGCGCGAAGCGCGGAAAGTTTTACGACTTATTAAATTATTAGAGAAAGAAGACGATTCGTTGTACAGTTCTCGACTCTTAATCCTTGTCTAAATTCAGTCCCCCCCCTCCCCCTCCTGCGCGAAGCGCGGAAGCTTTGACGTTTTATTAAACTATTAAAGAAAGAAGACGATTCGTTGTACCGTTCTCGAAAATAATTCTCGTCTGAATTTAGTTTTTCCCCTCCCGCGCGAAGCGCGGAAAATTTTACGACTTATTAAATTATTAGAGAAAGAAGACGATTCGTTGTACAGTTCTCGACTCTTAATCCTTGTCTAAATTCAGTCCCCCCCTCCCCCTCCTGCGCGAAGCGCGGAAGCTTTGAAGTTTTATTAAACTATTAAAGAAAGAAGACGATTCGTTGTACCGTTCTCGAAAATAATTCTCGTCTGAATTTAGTTTTTCCCCTCCCGCGCGAAGCGCGGAAAATTTTACGACTTATTAAATTATTAGAGAAAGAAGACGATTCGTTGTACAGTTCTCGACTCTTAATCCTTGTCTAAATTCAGTCCCCCCCTCCCCCTCCTGCGCGAAGCGCGGAAGCTTTGAAGTTTTATTAAACTATTAAAGAAAGAAGACGATTCGTTGTACCGTTCTCGAAAATAATTCTCGTCTGAATTTAGTTTTTCCCCTCCCGCGCGAAGCGCGGAAAATTTTACGACTTATTAAATTATTAGAGAAAGAAGACGATTCGTTGTACAGTTCTCGACTCTTAATCCTTGTCTAAATTCAGTCCCCCCCCCCCCCCTCCTGCGCGAAGCGCGGAAGCTTTGAAGTTTTATTAAACTATTAAAGAAAGAAGACGATTCGTTGTACCGTTCTCGAAAATAATTCTCGTCTGAATTTAGTTTTTCCCCTCCCGCGCGAAGCGCGAAAAATTTTACGACTTATTAAATTATTAGAGAAAGAAGACGATTCGTTGTACAGTTCTGGACTCTTAATTCTTGTCTAAATTCAGTCCCCCCCCCCCCCCCCCTCCCCCTCCTGCGCGAAGCGCGGAAGCTTTGACGTTTTATTAAACTATTAAAGGAAGAAGACGATTCGTTGTACCGTTCTCGAAAATAATTCTCGTTTGAATTTAGTTTTTCCCCTCCCGAAGCTTTTAATCTTCATTTAATCATAAGAGAAGAAGACGATTCGTTGTACAGTTCTCGACTCTTAATCCTTGTCTAAATTCAGTTCCTTCCCCTCCCCCTCCTGCGCGAAGCGCGGAAGCTTCTACGTTTCATTAAATCATTAGAGAAAGAAGACGATTTGTTGTACAGTTCTCGACTCTTAATCCTCGTCTGAATTCAGGTTCCCCCCTCCTGCGCAAAGCGCGGAAGCTTTTAATCTTCATTTAATCATTAGAGAAGAAGACGATTCATTGTACCGTTCTCGAAAATAATCCTCATCGGAATTTAGTTCCCCCTCCATCCCGCGCGAAGCGCATAAGCTTTTACGTTTCATTAAATAATTAAAGATTCGTATTACCGTTCTCGCCTCTGAATCCTCGTCTCAATTCAGTCCCCCCACCCCCCTCCTCCCCTCCTGCGCGAGGCTTTGACGTTTTATTATTAGAGAAAGAAAACGATGCGTTGTACCGTTCTCTATACTCTTAATCTTTGTCTGAATTTCAAAGAGGTGGGGTCGAGGCGGCGGAGCCGGCCCCGGAAGCTCAGGGGTTTTAGGCGTTTAATTAAGATCAGATGAGCATATTTTTGTGTATACCTTATTATTTTGTGACACTGGCAAGTCACTATTTGACGTGGGGTCCAGGGGGCGGAGCCCCAAAAAATCAGGGGTTTTAGGCATTAAATTACCGTCAGATGATCATCTAAGGGCCCGCCGTAGGGCCCTAGATGGAATCCAGGGGGCAAAGCCCCCGGAAGCTTAGGGGTTTTAGGCATTTAATCACGGTCAGATGAGCATATTTTGATGCCTCGAGGCTCTCGATCCCCGCCGTACCTCGGGCCCTGACATGTAGGAATCTCAAGAATCATATTTTTTGCCTGGTTGTAAATTTAGGAATTTTTTTATTTTCCAACAAACACATACAAACGTATAATTTACTAAAAAGTGAGGAAAAATTTCGGAAATTATGTCATTTCAGCATTTTTTGTAATACACCGTTGTGGAATCAGAAATAAACCACGTTTGAATTTGATTTCCCCCAAGCCCCCCCCTCTATCAGTACGCCAGTATCTCCTCTTTTCCTTTTTTTTCTTTCCCTTTCCTTCCTTCTCTCTTATTTTTTTTTTGATTGGGGGGGGGGGGGGTTAACAGCCTGGGAGGCAAGGCCCTTTCGGCCCCCCTTCTTCTTCCCCCTTTACTTTTCTTCTTCCTCTTCTTTCTTTCCCTTTTTCTCCTTTTTCCCTTTCTCCCTTCTTTTCCTTCTTCTCTCTTTTTTTTTTTTTTTTTTTTGCGGGGGGGGGGGGGGGGGCCAAGGCCCGCTCGGCCCCCCCCCTGGATCCGCGCCTGCGCAAAGTTAGATCTAGGCCTAACTTGTAATTATTTGTAGGGCAGGCTCTCGCACTCACTCAGTCTCACTCTCAGTCAGAGTTGAAGTCTGGTACTCAAACTATTTCTCAAACTATTTCTCACTCTCAGACAGCATTGTAACTATGAGTATAAAATCCAATGTGGTTTGTAATTGTCTTTAATTTTCTTTGATTGTTGGATCTTGTGAAGTTGTGATCATGATCGATGTAAAGTGTAAGGAAATAAAGGTGGATGCAAACTTTTATATAGCTCTAGACCCTAGTCTAGACCCTTAAAATATATCCGCATTCAGTTTTGTTTCATGATCAGTTTGCTTTTCAAGTTAAATAACTCGCTGTCCTGGTGAAAAATTACAATAACATATGCATGGCCAGATTGCCCATGTCGATGTCTACAAGTATATTAATAAATAGGCCTAGATCTATAGGCCTAATACTAATAGAGCGCACACACCATCCAGGGACGTCATGGCGCTAGCTCGATCAGCAACAATTCTCTATAATTATATGTACAAGTAAAGTAAATGTTTATTTGATAACATAACAAAACACGAAACAGACACAGAATCTTCATATCTTTTTTTAGTGATACAGTACGTATTCGTGCCAAGCACAAAAAAGTACTGAGGAAAGTCTAATTTACGTAATTTTATTCACATGCCTCGAGATGCCATCTCATGTAAACAAAATCCTGCAGACCTGAACTGTACATTTGTCAAGTGAATGAGTGGACAGACATGGGAACTTGACACCATGGGAACTTGTGAAAATTACATTGTTATATTACTTGAATTTTTATTAGATTTTCTGCACACACTCTCTCTAAAATATAAGGATTAAGATGAGGGATGATACCATTCAAAATTCTTGTGAATTTTAATTTTTAGTATGATAGGACCCCCATCATACTGTTTGATGGTTGATATCAAACTGGTCTTTATGCCTACAGGAGGCCTATGTTCTTTGACTAGGCTCTAGATCTTAACTCAACATAAGGTCAACATTTCTGTCTTGTTTTCAAGTGACACAATACGGCCACCTTGTCTCTCTGTCTGGTTTGAGGAATTTCTTATGATAAAATTTCTTTTGTTGCATTCCTCCAACATTTAATACAGAGGGGAGGGTTTATTAGAATCCATACATAGTCATGTCGTCAGCCACTATGCTGGAACAAAATGGATGCATTGATCAGTATAAGCTGAGCAGACGCATAGCTTATATTCAAACTTTAAGCAACCAATTTCTTCTGCAGTCAAGATAAAAGCACTAAGGATTAGACTCCATTAAACAAAAGATGTGCACCCCTTCTTGCTTGGTTCTTTACAAGGGTCTATGTACATGTGTATTTACAAGAAGAAAAGTCCATCCAGAAATATCTTATCAATAAAAGCTTTATTGTGTTCTATACTTCTGCCTGTTCATGCTTTGTATAATAAACAAAAAAAAGATGTAGATATTAACATTTAATACATTTTATTCCTACTGCTCGTATCTCTCCTTTCTTTCACAGTTACCCCTCGGGACCTTCATCACATCAACACAATTGGCCTATCCAAATCCAATGACCTAAGCGACTCCCACAGATTCAAAGGCTTCCCAGACTCAAATTTTGCCCAGGGGAGAGATCCCCTCCGTGGTTCACCCAAACCAATCCCCACAGTAACGCACAGAAAACCCCAACATTTTGTGAAAGGTAAGAAGTTTTACATGGTGTAAATGATAAACAATATTTACTTGCATCAAATTATTTACATTACACAAGCTGGATATGAACGAACAAAAATTGAAAAACAAAAATATAGATTAAAGAGAAACTTGTGTGTAGAGAAGCATATTGGCCACTTAGAACAGATAAAGGCAAATCTTTCAAGAACAAACCTAGAAAAATACATGTATTTGTGAGATAAATGCTTTTGTCTCATATCTATTCTCTTCAAGAGTATTTCGCCAAACATTTCTAGTTATTATGAAATGATAAAATACATGTATAGCCTGCAGTACTTTTCAATTTTACTTTTTTATACCATAAAATGATCTCCAAATCTGTAAAAAAGACAAGGAAAATCATTCAACCATTATGGAGTCAGAGTTCAAAAGAAAATCGCTATCTACCGGGGTAAATCCCATCTTGGTCAGAAGGCTGACATGTATATATTATACTCCCTTATTATTCACAGATTGTTTGATATAAGATGTATCCTTTCCCATTCTTCACCAAACTTCAAGAATGAGAATCCAATACTGATTTTCCTCAATGCTGTTTTGATCTTTCTCATGTTGTCTGATTATTTTGCTTTTAGTTTTACTGAGAGCAATTTAATTTTGGACTGGAGTTCTCTAATTGTATCAAGAAGATTTGTTTTTTCATACTAAAATTTGTCTCGTGTTCTTGACCATGTAAATATTGTTTTAACATTTTAAGTTGATTGTAAATGTGTGCCTTTATTAACTACTTTACTTTCCTTTAGTTAAATTAACCAAAACCTTTTTTTTATGTTGGACAAAAAACCTAGGCGTTCCTTTGGATCACAAACTACCAAATAATGTAGTTAGCAGCGATGGGACATCATTGGAGAACGGTAATCCTCAGAAATATATGTATCAGTCATGCTCACCACCTCACCTGCATAAAAATCACTGGAAATTACCATCTTGACTTACCTTTAAAGAGGATAGCACATCTTCAATGTACATGTATTGCCCAAACTGAACTCATATTGTCAGAGTCAAAGACGACAGCAATATGGGTTTTTATGAAGGCAAAACGTATATTTTGTCTGTTTAGAGCCAGAAGGGCATTACTTGTATCTCAATATAGAGTTAACACCCTTCTGGCTGCAAACAGACTAATTACATGTACGTGGCGTGTCCCGAAAATAGAGTCGGTCAATTGTGTTATTATTTGAACATCTGATTGAGGCACATTTTTTGGACAGTAAAAACAAGTTTGTTTTCCTATCTCTCTGTTACTATTCACGTTAGGCCTTCTTAACTGTACAATTACTGCCATATCCTTTGTCTAAAGTCCTTGTGCATTCAAACCAATTGTGAACTAGCCAGGCATATACCGGTATGTGCTTTGTGCTACCTGCGAATCAAAAGAGGACGATCTGGATAGAATTTTTGACAAAATTAAGAGTCTTCAAAGAAGAAATGGTACATGTAAATGATGGTTATATTCATGACATGCATGAAAAGCGATTGGTGACATGAAATTTCACTGTCAAAATGCCTTTATAAACAGATGGATCATATAGATGTTAAAGCCATCTTGATTCCCTACTAGACCCTGGCTTACATTCTTATCTTTTTATATGTTTATGCTCTCTCCCCCCCCCCCCCAAAAAAAAAAATTCTGGCAAGCTATATTTGTACAATTTCCCTTTTTGCACTTGCATCCCTTTTGCTAAGTTTTCATTAATATGCTCCATAATTCTTTACAGTCTCTTTTTCTTTCATTGTGATTAAGGATAAGGAAAATATCGAAGAAGATCTCATTTTTTATTTATTTTAATTTTAAATGTTGTATGTTCACAATGTTTACCCCTATATGTGGAGGGACACTAACACATCATTTTCTACCTGGGGCTTTACGGACATTCTAAAGACAACATTTTTCTCTGTGTGTCATTTTTCCCCGTGTGTCATTTTTCCCCCTTTAGTTCTGCAAAACCATCAGTTGTGATACCCCCCCCCCTCCTTTTCATTTTAATTATTCATCCATTAGCCCAAATTGATAAGAAGAACAGAAATGTAACATGTACATGTATGTACAAAGCTCTAGATGTGTTTTGACTGAGTACAAGGCTTACAATGTATCAAAGGAATTAAGGACTCTTTGAAATTGACAAATTAATCAACTTATTTTGATAATTAAGCCTGTCAGAGATCCTCTGCTTGTTGCCATGGTTGCATGATGGAATGATTAATCATTACTACTTGAGCAGGATATTGGATTATCCTTTCATGATCATCTGTCATCACCTGTATTCAGCAGCGTAACCTGCGTATGAATTATTAATCACCTTTTGATCAAATTATGAATCTCCCACGTGCATACATATACTGCATTTATCAGTTATTTATTTGTATTGTTGTTGGTAATGGGGTTTTATTGGTAAACTAACCGGATCAATGGCGTGCCTTTCCTTTGAATTTTATTTTCATTGCCTTCATCAATTATGAAATGTTAATATTTTTGTATAGTACGCTGTAGGCTACATACCGTTATCTTTAATGTGTTGACTTAAAAATAAATATATATGAAGCTGAAATATCTTTATTGTGCCTTAAATTTATTGGTGTACATGAAGATATGAAATATGAATAAAGTACTTGTTAGTCATTCTAGCTAGTTACCAATTGATGCAAGTGGAATTATTTTCTACTGTCAGTCAAATTGGAATAACTGGCTACTAGAAATCTCAAAGGAATTGTTGAAAATATGTTGAAGTTTTTATCATCCTATTAGCAAACAACCTTGAGATAAATAAATCCAGAAATAGAACCTGCGATACGATTGTCAGGGTAATTTAACAAATAAACGGAGAAAAATCAATTTTTTTTTTAAATTAACAAAATGTTATCTTGTTTGCTCATTTTGCATTTATATTGTTCATGCTTCCATACAGTTTCCCTTTGTCTTATAATGATAATGACAAATTAAACAAGTTTCAAGTCTAATCTAGACTTAATTTTTAAGAGATTTTGATAGAATGTGGGTCAGTTTTTTTAAAATCTGTAAAGCCCTGTCAAAACTTAAGTTACTGTATGCCTGATCATTGTCTGTGAAAGTTTTGATGTGACAGCCATCTTCCTTAAAAACCATATGCCCTTTTGTTACCCTCATCTAGTTTCTTTGGTGTTCCCTCTTTGCCAAATGTACATGTACCCCTGCCAAAAAGCCCCCCCCCCCACCCATTTTCGTTGCAATTCCCTGTAATCTGCAATTCCTCATAAACTGGCATGAAGTGTTCTGCTTAAATATTATGTGAGTTTAGGGCATTGAAAACAAGGGGAGGGGTCTGAAGATCCTTGTAAACCTTACAATAGGTATAGAAATGCTATTGTTGCATAAAGTGTATAGATATTTGTTCAGAAATTATTGTGTCATATGTGAGACTAATTTTAATACTGTGTTTTTATATTGAAATTGTCTGTTATGCTGTTAGAAGAGTAAATATCTGTCATTACAATACTCGCCTCCTACAGTGTATGCCATATTGTCCTCAGTATTAAATGAGCAAACACAACAGTATTACATGTAGGTCAAGTGAATAGTAGCTGAATACACTTTGTTACAGAATATCTCTGTATTACGTGCATACCCAGATAACAATACGGCGTTGGGCCAACGTCGGCCACCGTCGGCAGGGTCGCAGTCGGCAAGCCAACGTTGGCTAATCGTTGGGCCATCGTCGCCATTTTTTACTGATAAATGGTGGCTATTGGTTGGCTCATTCGACGTTGGGCCAATGTTGGCTGAACGTTGGTCCATTGTCGCCATTTTCACTGATAAATGGTGGCTATAGGTTGGCTATTCGACGTTGGGCCAATGTTGGCTGAACGTTGGTCCATTGTCGCCATTTTCACTGATAAATGGTGGCTATTGGTTGGCTATTCGACGTTGGTCCAATGTTGGCTGAACGTTGGTCCATTGTCGCCATTTTCACTGATTAATGGTGGCTATTGGTTGGCTATTCGACGTTGGGCCAATGTTGGCTGAACGTTGGTCCATTGTCGCCATTTTCACTGATAAATGGTGGCTATTGGTTGGCTATTCGACGTTGGGCCAATGTTGGCTGAACGTTGGTCCATTGTCGCCATTTTCACTGATAAATGGTGGCTTTTGGTTGGCTATTCGACGTTGGGCTATCGTTGGTTTAATGTTGGTCCATTGTCGCCATTTTCACTGATAAATGGTGGCTTTGGGTTGGCTATTCGACGTTAGGCCAATGTTGGCTAAATGTTGGTCCATCGTCTCAATTATCACTGATAAATATTGGCTATTGGTTGGCTATTCGACGTTGGGCTAACGTTGGCTCATTGTCGCCATTTTCACTGATAAATGTTGGCTTTTGGTTGGCTTTTCGACGTTGGGCCAATGTTGGCTGAACGTTGGTCCATTGTCGCCATTTTCACTGATAAATGGTGGCTTTTGGTTGGCTATTCGACGTTGGGCCAATGTTGGCTGAACGTTGGTCCATTGTCGCCATTTTCACTGATAAATGGTGGCTATTAGTTGGCTATCCGACGTTGGGCCAATGTTGGCTGAACGTTGGTCCATTGTCGCCATTTTCACTGATAAATGGTGGCTATTGGTTGGCTATCCGACGTTGGTCCAATGTCGGCTGAACGTTGGTCCATTGTCGCCATTTTCACTGATAAATGATGGCTATTGGTTGGCTATTCGACGTTGGGCCAATGTTGGCTGAACGTTGGTCTATTGTCGCCATTTTCACTGATAAATGGTGGCTTTTGGTTGGCTATTTGGGCTATTGTTGGTTCAATGTTGGTCCATTGTCGCCATTTTCACTGATAAATGGCGGCTTTGGGTTGGCTATTCGACGTTGGGCCAATGTTGGCTAAATGTTGGTCCATCGTCTCAATTATCACTGATAAATGTTGGCTATTGGTTGGCTATTCGACGTTGGGCCAATGTTGGTTGAACGTTGGTCTATTGTCTCATTTATTACTGATAAATGTTGGCTTTTGGTTGGCTATTCGACGTTGGGCTAACGTTGGCTCATTGTCGCCATTGACACTGATAAATGGTGGCTATTGGTTATTCGACGTTGGGCTAAATTAAGTTGGCTCAACGTTGGTCCATTGTCTCAAATATTACTGATAACTGTTGGCGTTTGGTTGGCTATTCGACGTTAGGCCAATGTGGGCTGAAAGTTGGACCATATCGTCTCAATTTTAACTTATAAATGTTGGCTATATTGGTTGGCTATTCGGCGTTGGGCCAATGTTGGCTTCATGTTGGTCCATCGTCTCAATTTTTTTTTTTAAATGGTGGCTTTGGGTTGGCTTTTCGACGTTGGGCTAACGTCGGCTGAACATTGGTCCATCGTCTCAATTTTAAATTTTAAATGTTGGCTTTTGGCTGGCCATTCGATGTTGGGCCAACCTTGGCTTAACGTTGGTCTATATCATGGGTGTCGAATCTTACGTAATACCTATATTGTTCAGGGGGGATGAATGAATAGATCATCCCCCCCCCCCCCCTGATGAATAGGTATCAATGACAGATCGACACCCATGGTCTATATCGTCTCCATCTTTACTGATAAATAGTGCATGTATATATTGGTTGGCTATATGACGTTGGGCCAACGTAGCAAATACGACCTAGTACCGCTACATCCGGGTAAAAAAAATTGCATGCGTGCGCATGCCCATGTGCTCATGCAATTGCAACGTACGTCAGCCATATCCTGTCCATTTGTCTGGACCAGTTGCCGGGGAGTACCAACACTGCATGGTAAATGAATGATTTTCTTTCTCTTTCAACGTTATTTTTGTGAGCATGTCGCGTGAAACTGATAAATTGTATAGTGTGAGAACTCCCCGTCAC